GATATTGGAGGAAAAGAGATGGTCGAGATATGTAATGATTTTTTCTACAAGAAACACTATTTATGGCATGAAAACAGATTGCTATGAAATGGATGGAAAAAAAACCTCCCCTCTATTAATCAATGGATTGAAGCAGTTAATCATATTATATCAAATGAAAAAGTAATGTATGAATATAGCAGGACTTTACAGAAAGTTTATAATATCTGGAGTGAGTGAAGTAAGGTTGAAGTGATTGATTAATCAAGAGAATAGAAGGGATGGAAACTGAGAAATAATAAGATTAGAAATGTAAGGTAGTGGACGGCAGTAATCAGGATGATTGAAATGTGAGGTTGATTAAGTGCTTGGAAGGAACATGTAGTAAATGTGTATTAAAGAAATGTATTGCATTTTGTACTATCTATTTTAAATGTATAATAAGCAATAAAGAGTATCTATATAAAAAAAAAGCTACCGATCAAACTTCAAGGCTTGCAGTGTATCACTTGAAGAGGGTTTTAAAACATCAGGTCTCATTGCATAGTAGTTGCTAAATGAGATTCCAGTTAAAGCAGAACTAAACCCACTCTTAACAACGTTTTTTTTTTTTTTTTTTTTAGTTATTAATTATTATTATTATTATCCCTTTTTTTTTTTTATTATTTATTATTATTATTAAACGCGGGTGGAGCATGTAACATGTTCCGAAGGTGAACTTATCCTTTAAGTCAAAACTTACATTGGGCTAAGTACCCACGTAACAGCTGGGCCTTGTGACTGGTTGCTTGGACACAAAGTGCTGCATTGTATAGAGGCAAGGACAGTAAAATGACTTCTCTATCTGAAAGTACCAGGCTTTGCTGTTGCAGGGGAGTCTCATGGTTTTGTGACTTTGTACTGACTGGCAAAATACAGGTTTGCGCTAAGGTAGTGCTGAAGGGACAGGGCAAATTAATGTTTTGTGATTGTTCTCTCTTCTATGCATCACTCTATGGATCACTAATCTGTGGCAGTACTTTTTATATTCGCATAACTCCCAAGTTCCTACATTTCTTGTTCTACGGAACAAAACCATATAATGTAAAGCGCTGAGCTGACTATATAAGTCCTGTATAATAATAAATAATTACTGAACATACCCGAAGGCTTTGTTAACCCTTTGAGGACCGTAAGATTTTGGAACGCCAAAAGATTCAATTTTTTTGTTTTTAAAGTTCGTACACTTCAGTTGCTGTAACTAAGCCATTTCATGAAATAATTGGCAAAAAGCTAGATCTGTTTGTTGATCAGAACTAAAATTTTGACTCAAACCAAAAAAAAAAAGAGAGTTTTAAGTTCTTAATCAGATGATACACGCAATTAAAAACATGGGACAAATACGTCCCTTGGTCCTCAAAGGGTTAAAGAACAGCTCATTGGCTAGATTTCAAGGAGTATACCACTATATAGCCGCCATCTCTGTTACACCCTCCTTAAAGTGTTCTTTTGTCAGCAGAGCAGACCCCTCCCCACAGGATTTACTGCCTCACTGTGTTTCCTCTATCTTGCCAATGTGAGAAAACTCCTTTAATGAGATAGTAGATCTGGATCATATTCTGTAAAAACTAGTCATGCTAAGCAGTACAAGCAGCAATGTTAAGTATAAAACTGGACTGTGTAACATCAAACATGGTTTTTCAGAAGATAATGTAAATAGGGTCTTTTTTCTCTGCTCCCTGAAGATATAATGTGTGTACTTCAGTTTGGCAGAAGATGTCATTAAAAAAAACAATTGCTGGTTCTAATTATGGACTGACAGAATTCAAAATTAAAGTAATAATCGCAAGGATTTTAACATGCTAATGCAGATCTTTAGCTGCTTCATTTTTGTAGGTAATGAGACCAGCCATGCCATTACACATGATGAAATCCTTTAAAAATAGTCCTGCAGATACCTCCTGTTAGTCATGAGATGTCAGTTCCTAGCTGGATGTGGCAACGATTTCATATCTGTTGAAGGTCCCCTGCACGTCTGTTGAATCTCTCTCTAAAACAAATACATAAAATATATAATAAAGCCTTTTCCCCACTCACCAATCGGATTCAAACTTTCTGTGGAAATTTAAAGCTGCGCCCTGCAGAAGCCCTCATCAGTGGGAGGGTGAAACATGTAGGCGGAAGGGACCACGTCGTCCTCCCACATGCGATCCCCTGTCTCCTGACCCGCTGTGAGGACACTGCTAGTTGTGCTGACTGATTTCAAGGACACTGGTATATTTTACTGGACTACACATCCAGCTAACCGCACAAGAACGGATGTCTTTGGGCCCACATAATGAGACTGTTCCACTTACCTCCCGTATGAAGACTTATCCTATGGCCTATGGATATACAGAGTCAATCAGCTACCAGGATGTAGGCTGGACCTGTCAAGTGCCGATCATACGTCCTTTCTTGGAAAGCTCCAGTAATGGTGACAAGGACATTGGAGAATTTGAGCAACTATATGGAACTGTGTTGATTCCCTTGAGGCATAATTGTTGCCTTATTGCTCTTCTCCACAGAGGACACACACTCTGTGGCCCAGACATACTTAGCTGGACATACCTTGGTTCCTATTACGTATCTGTACACATTACAGCAGGGTCTTCAGGGAGGTTACATCTGCACAGGAAGGGGGACTTGGGGAGAAGTGGTGGGCTGGCCTTTGTTACCGGGTCACTCATCGGGAGGGGGAGGAAGGCAGGGGGGGCTCTTTGGGGATTGGGGGTGATCCGGGACGGTGAGGGTAGAGTGGGCTGAGTGGGACTCCTTAGAGGGTTCGCATGGGGAGATGTGTTTTGGGGGGGTCGGCTGGGTGGGGAAGGGATGGATGAGATACCTGCACTGATTTATGTAATGTTTTACTGTTACGTCCAGAATAAATATGTGCTATTTATAAGCCTTGAGGTGCTCTATCTTTTTGTGGGGGGCTTTCTTTGTGAATTAAACACCTATTGAACATTTAAAAAAAAAAAAAAAACTGATACTTTGTACAGTGTTTGTTTTGATGCTTCTGGAATATATTTAGCTGATCTAGAATGGAAGGTCGATTTGGGCTTTATGTACATTGTGACTATCACAACTGGACTGTTGAGCAGCTCTCAAATTTTTCATCTGTTGCCTGGAAGTGCTTTTTTTAAACCTATTAATACAATTTACTTGATCATTTTTTTTTAATTTCTCCCCCAGGTAACTTTATACGGTAACACGAGTCAGGATGGCAACGACAGTCCTAGAAGTAGCCTTAACAACAGCCTCTCGGATCAGAGTGTGTCATCCTTAAACTTGAACAGTGTTGGCAGTGTGCACAGCTATACACCGGTGAGCAGACCTCTTCTATACATTGTGCAGGCACTCCCACTTCACACGTCTCCTTCCAACAATAACAGCCTAGGCCTGACCAGGCTATTTTCACAAGCTGTAATGTGTTTTACTAGGCACACCGTGTACTTATGACATAAATCACTCACACTTCTGCCACTGAGAGCCTGTGTTTGGGGTTTATACCTTGTTTAAAATAGCTGAGGATGGGTGCTGCAGAGCGGAGTATACCAGTTACAAAATAGAAAGCATTGCTGTGTAGGTGGAGATAATGGCAGCTTTGTTATTTAATAAACAAGACCGATAAAATTATAAAGGAACGGTGTGCTAAATAAAAGATAAAAATGCTGACTTTTATTTGAAGGAAAACTACAGAGTATACACAGAAAGTGCACATTGTGTATTATTGTAAGATTTGCCTGAAAATGATTTTGATGTGACTTTTCTGCTTTCCTTTGGCTTGGTGTTCTGTGTTTTGATGATCTTTATGTACAATTCTCTGTTTCGTGGTCGTCTGCATATCAGGTGGTGTGGATAGTGTTACCTTCTTTAAAGCCCATTTCGGTACCAAAATTAACTGCTTGCACCCTGAAGCCCCCACACCCCCCTCTTACCCTACCAATGTTTTTTTTTTTTTTTTTTTTTTTTTTTTTTTAAATATTATCCTATCCTTGTGTAGCATCTTATATTCACCCAAGCCCACTTTCCATGTCCTTCGCCAGCAGTGTTTCCAGGTGCATGGAACTGGTAATGCACAGCTAATATGTCTGCACCGGACATTTGCTGATGTCCGCTTCTGGATCCTGAGTGCGTCCCGCCGCTGGACAACCAATAGGCAGTGTTCCGTCATGCAGGAAGTGACAGACCCTTGAAGGACCCTGCCTTCTGTACAGAGAAGAAGATAGAAGACTCAGGACTGGAATGTCACACAATAATGGATTTAGATGAGTAAAAGGGTTGACTGGAGTTAGCTTTAAAGCCCAACTCCAGGCAGGAAAAGAATCCTGTCCCCCCACACTGCAAGGAGTTAATGCGCTACCTATAGAAATGCTTGTTAATGCATTGCAACCGAGAGTAGAGATTTGAATGGGTGCTAAAACTCTCTCTCAAAAAAAATTAAAACTTTCATAAAAAAAGACTAAAGCTGGCCATAGACTGTTAGATTCAAATCATGTTGGGCAGACCGAATGTACGCAAATTGATCAATCGATTAACTTTGGTACAACCAGCCCTGCCAGATTTTCCATGCGATTATCGCTAGTGGCGGCTTATAGCCTCTAGCAATAATTACAGTCTTCTCCTGGTGGAGACGGCTTCTACTGCCCACCTTCCTGCCAGGAGAAAACAATGGCTTGGCGGGAAGGATTCCCCTGTCAATACTGTCTATGTTGATGGTGGAACTAAGGTGCAAAGAAATTTGCATCGGCTTTGGCCTGCCCTGTTTTCTGCCTGTTGAAAGGGTGAGGATTAATACTCATTTGGTGTAGTTTATTAGCAACCACGGGCTGGTGCAGCTAATAATTATCCTCTAATTGGATTAAAGGTTGGATTTTTAAGGCATGCACTCTTTTCTTTGTGAAATTACCTGTTATTCCACATTATAGTAGAAATTGCTCATTAGGCTTCTCATTCAACACCAGGTAACAAGCCATCCAGAGCCATCTGCTCCAACATTAACACAGCAGTCCCAGTACAGCACACCAGAGCGAGAAAAGCTTTTCCCCGAGTATAACTTTGAAGATCTCAGCGATTCATTTCGAAGTCTGTACAAGAATGTATTTGCTCAATCTGCAAGCCAAGGTGGGTTACAGTGTTTTTGAGTTAAATGGTAATTGGCTTAAAGTGGATCTGCACCCAACTGTTTTTTTTTTTTTTTTTCACTTTTGAATGGACTGGAAAGGGCCAAGTTCACTGTCAGGGTTTTATTACTAGGTGTCTCCACTGGAAAAATATCCTATCAATGCCTGTCTGTGACAAACCCTTGCTATGATGCTATGAGCTGAACTTCTTTCTTCCTCTGGATTGTGTTCTTTTAACGGCTTGTTCACACATGCATCTGTGTGAAGAGCGACTCGCATTGTATTGCTTTTCAAAGAATGGTGCAAGCATGGCTGACAGGCATTTGTGAGGTGATACTGGTGCCTTCTGAATGCCTGTTTTTATGACAACCAAACAGACAAAGCAGCTCAAGGGGGGAACGGGGTGGTTGTGGAGGCAGTAAAAATGTGGCTCAACCAATGAAATGAAAAATCTGGTGCCAATACTGAAAATTCAGAATACATGTGGCCGAAAACTGAACCAAAATGTCTGCGTATGTGGGGAGGCTCCAATTTTTTTTTTTTTTTTAATTTCTTTCTACTTTTATGTATATTTGTATTTATTTTTTTTTAACTTATGATCTTATTCCCTATCACATAGTGAACCAATAGTCCCCTATGTGATTAGCATATCAATGACAGGTCCTCTTTGTAGGGGAGAGGAGGTGGGGAGAGGAGCAGTGTATACAGTGAGGTAGCGGTGTATACAGAGAGGCTTCCTCACTGGCTGTCATTATATGTTGGTGCCAATTTTTTAAATGCAGTTGACAGCTTTTTTTTTTTTTTTTTTTGTCACCATAGCTCACAGAATTAGCTGTCACTTTCTCCGTGCTAAAGGAAACTGTTTCTTTTATCTCGGGAAAGAAACTAAAAGGAAACATTGTTTCTTTTAACTCCCGGAAATAAACTAAAAGGAAACTTTGTTTCTTTTAGCTGGGAGGAAAGTGACAGCTGATTCTCTGAGCTATAGTGAAGAAAAAAAAAAGCTGGTAATTACATTTAAAAACCGGCACTGACATATAGTTACAGACAGTCACTGTATACACTGCTCCTCTCCTGCCTTTCTCTGCTGCAATCCCCCCCCACATCTGCAGTACACACAGTCTCCTGTATCGACACCTGTATCGGCAGAATGCTGATGGCTATTTTCGGCCGATATGTTTCGGTGGACGAAATTTCGGTGTATCCCTATTAACCACCTGTTGTTTTTACTGCTTCCCAACAGCAAGTGTAAGCTATGCTTTAGATATCCAGTGACAATGACATTACTTCTTGGTAGGTTCTTCAAAGGAATACACAAAAAGAATATAGTGAACAAAAGATGGGTAGTTCGGTTTACAACTGTTCCCTGAATTTTACCAGGAAGCGAGGGAAAATCTTCCCAGCAAGCACACGCCAGTAAGAACTACCTGATAGAGGCCTTTGCCAGTTTTGGACAGAGTTCCAGTTCAAAATGACCCATGCCATTACTCTTACCTGTACATATTAACCATTGTAAACTCTTTATTGCTGCTGTCATGTCACCGCTCTACACCAGTTCCAGATAGCAGATGTGAATACTCTGTAAAATTCCACTTTATTTACTTTCACTTTCTCCACCTTAATCCCTCTTTTCCCTATTAGCTATGATTATTTAGTAGTAGTAAAGATATCAAAGTATTTCCAATCAGTTAGGAAAGGAGGGATGATATCATTGTGTCCAGACAGACTGTATTAAACTGCAAATCAGACTTTTAAAGATAAAGCCACTTCTGGGTTTGACAGCTGACATAGATAAATATACAGTAGATATAGATATACACAACAAGGTGTGGATGAAGTTAGGGCATAAAGTTATTTTTAACAAAATTACCTTTTTTTTTTCTCTGCAGTCGTAAACCACATGAAATGTTTATTTGTTATGTATTGTTTTCTAAATGTGTTTTTTATGCTGCTGTTCTGTATCTGTATAGTGGAAATAACAGTACTCCTGTTTCTGTTTCAGGAATGCTGAATCTGCAGTCTGAGTCCTCCCAGCAGACACACTCACCTTGTTCCTATCAGCACTCCCCTAGTAGCACAATGAGCTCTCAGCAGCACGGTAGCCAAAGTAACCTGACAAATAGCCATGCCAGTAGTCTTGGCAGCACCGTAGGTGACTCCTTGGGGCAGGTTCACATGTCTCACACTCCACTACACAGTCAGCAGTCCCAGCAGTCTCCACATATACACCACACTGTAGTCCACCATCAGCAGCACCCAGCACAGCATGCATCTCACTGTCACCAACAGGTTTCACAGCACCAACCTCAGCATCCTCAGCAGCGGGCTCCCCATCCAGCACAGCACCCTGCCACCCATCCGGCACAGCATCAAACCCAGCACCCTGCCACCCATCCGGCACAGCATCAAACCCAGCACCCTGCCACCCATCCTGCACAGCATCAAGGCCAGCACCCTGCCACCCATCCTGCACAGCATCAAGGCCAGCACCCTGCCACCCATCCTGCACAGCATCAAGGCCAGCACCCTGCCACCCATCCTGCACAGCATCAAGGCCAGCACCCTGCCACCCATCCTGCACAGCATCAAGGCACGCACCCTGCCACCCATCCTGCACAGCATCCTGGCCAGCACCCTGCCACCCATCCTGCACAGCATCCTGGCCAGCACCCTGCTACCCATCCTGCACAGCATCCTGGCCAGCACCCTGCACAGCATCAAGCACAGCACCCTGCCACCCATCCTGCACAGCATAATGCGCAACACCAGCATCTACAGCACCACGCCAACCACCAGCACCAGCCCCTCACACATCAGACCTCTCTAACACAGCAGCCCTACAGTTCAGGTAAGTGTTTGCTTCTAACACTCATTACAAGTGCAATATGTTTTTAGATCTAAATGTGTAGCTCAAGCCAAAATGTTTTCACTTTAATTAGAGTTTTTTTTCCCCTAAATCCCCACTAAGAAGTCACCAGACAGGTGTTCTTGGAATATAACCATTTGTACTTTCTGGTGAAAACTTTCCATTACTGGACAATAGTCAGTAGGACAAATGAGGTGAACATCTCCAGCGGGGACATAGTAATTAAAACATAAAAAGGGGTTTTAATACTTTCTTGTTCTATACACAACCAAAAGGTAATAACGTTTTTTGGCTTTAAATATACTTTAAATAGGAGCTTCAGTTGCTTGTGCAAAATTTAAGTCTGTAGCTGCTGACTTTTAATAAACAGACACTATCCTGTCCAAGAATCCAGTGCTGTCCTCACCCAGGCTTGTTCTCAACCGGCCTTCAGGTCCCCAGTACTGGCATGATAACTGTGGGCAGCTGGCTTTGACTTCTTACAGCTTCACAGGCAGCTTCCCACTGCGCATGCTTGAACCTCGCTGCACTTTGTGAATGGTCCCACAGCCTTCTGGGACCTGTGATGTGTTCCAGAAGGTTGTGGGCAGGGATGGGGGGGGGGGCTTCTGGTGGATCTGCCATGGCGATCGGAGCTGAAGTGGGATCGGGTACCTGTGAAAGCTGAGCGGAACTTCCTTTTTTGGGTGAAGTTCTGCTTTAAGTTGGCTCTGTATGGTATGCTCTATCTGCAGTGTTTAGATTAGTGCAAGGGCACATCCTTATAGTCCACTCAGTTGGCATTGAATCAGGCAGGCCCTCCCCCTTCATAGTTAGTGGTACATCTTAAAGTGGAACTTTGTCAGAAAATTAAGTCCTACTAGATCACTTCAGTCTGGCCTGTTAGGCCTGGTCAGGCACACCCCCTTTGTGTATCTGCAATACATGGCTGTATAAGTATTGTGGTTGTTAATGCTTCTCTGCTAGCATAAAGCAGTGAGAAAAAAAAAAGGTATTCTTACTTATTCATTGTAGGACACGGCTCTGCTTTATATCATCAGCTACTGGTATAATGCCAACTACAGGAGTAGGATGCTAGATACAAAAAAAAAAAAAGACATCCCGGGATTGAGCCCTGCTAATAGCCAAATTCCCCACACTGTAGAACAAGCTCAATTACACCACAGTGCAAAAACAAAAAGTATTTAAACACAGGGCTGCAGTAAAGCTAGAGGAGGTGATGTGTCCTCCAAAAAATGCAGAATACATACATTTATGATGAGTCCAAAAAAGCCTATTTTTTAAGGCATTTGGAAGCACAAATATTTCACAAAAGTTCACAAGATGGGGTACAGGACTATAAAGAGAAAAAGTGCAAGACATAAGTACATAAATTGGGTTTAAACTTTAGCTGTTGAGTTGCTTTTGTCTGGAGTTCCACTTTAAAATAAAATGTATCATTTTTCAGTGAATAGTTTTTAAGCCTATAGACAATGTAGTCAGTGAGCATAGTATTTGTCAAATTAGAAATAAAAAAGATATGGCGCCTTTCCTCCAAGCTAAATTGCTGCCTGTGCAAAATCATATTACCATTCACATAATACAAAAAAGTAAAACCCAAAATGTAGTGAAACTTTGTGTACGCCTGCACCATATAGTTGTGCTGCGATATTTGTGTAGCTGCCCCTTTAAGAGAAAGGCTGTTAGGATATTTTTGTAAGGCTGCTTACGGTTTATCCCGCCAAATCCCTAAATCGTTTCCGGTATTTAGAATGCACACCGAGGTTCAGGAAGTGGCATGGCGGTGCACAGACCCTGAGTGTATTAGTGGCGAGATATTGGGCGCCACGTTTTGTACGTGTGAAATTTTAATACCTTTTTATTGCCAGGTTTTGATTAAACACTGCACAATGAGAGACTCTGCTTTTGTGGTCTTTGGGTGACATTGATGAAAAGACATCGGGCACACAGGACAAGTGATGATTGGAGGAAAAATTAGAGCAACAGTGCTTGGAGAGCATCTGGGGCAAACAGCACTTTATGACCTTTTCTTAGAAATAAGAGGGTCATGGATCGTGGTGGTCGTGGTGACACAGGAGGTGAAGCACTTTGGGAAGATTCAGTGGCACAGAAACAGTATTTCTATATTGGTGTTGGACTGCATGTAGTACCATTTATTGTTTATGAGTTTTGGGGTATAGTATTTGGAGATTGAGTGCGGGGAGTCTATGGGGAATGTAAGCGCCCACTTATAGTTTCACTTTCACAATTGGGAGCACCACTAGGTGCTCTTAAAGGGGCAGCTACAAAAATCTGCAACGCACCTGCCCTTAAAGGGGCAGCTATAAGAATATCGCAACACACCTATATGGTGCAGGTGTACATAAGGTTTCACTATATTTGCATTTCACTTTTGGGTATTATGTGAATGTTGTTATGGTTCTGCACAGGCAGGAAAGACGCCATATCTGTTTTATTATTTTTCTTTTTATTTGTATTTGGTTTATTTGGCTCATGGGCTTTAGAGATTGAGTTTGGGGTGGCTATGGGGCATGTAAACGCCCACTTATAGTTTTTACTTTTATTTGTCAAATTAGACACGCTGACATTTCCCAACTAGGGTCTATAGAATGGTGGCGCAGCATTGTAAAAAATGTGTATTGTTTTCATAATGAATATTTTATAGGCATCTTTGTTGTGTATTGACGGTGAAGCTGTGAGTAACAAATTTAATGGGTAAAACTGAAGAACTGATGAAAAGGTCTGTTTATTAAAACATGGTGTTCTCCCCGCAGACTGGTACTCAACTTTGGACATGCTGAAGGAAAGCTGCCGAATTGCCAGCAGTGCCAACTGGTCTGATGTCGATCTCTCTCAGTTCCAAGGTATACACAACTTCTTCTACAAAGAGGCCTGTTCATAGACTGGTGGGGGTGGTAGTTTTCTCAAATATTTATATATATGTCTGTGTGTGTGAAAAAATAGTTTGCATAATGAGAGGAGACACTTATCCTTCCCGTTAGTTACTTAACCATTCTGCTTTGTAACATTGTGTGCTCTGGTAAAAGAATTTATCACAGTTGTTCTACAGAGCTGTTGTGTAGGGCTTAGGTCCTCTTGACAGCCCAGTGGCATAATCTGAGTAGCCATATACAGAAGGTGACATGAAGGATTAAGTGACATGAGTAAATAAAAGGACATGCTGGTCATATTATTGTATTTACTCTTCTCTTCTACACAACTGATGTCACCACAGTGGCTGTGGCAGAAAGTGAGGCCTTATAATGGTAAACTGGGTGCCACTTGTATTCCTAAAATGAATAACTCTGCCACAAAAAAAAAAAAAAAAATTATACAAAAGTGCATGTTTATTCACAGAAATAAATAGCCTCCCTCCTGACCCTATTAAAGCGGTAAATGTAATAACTAGTGGTGCACCGAAATTAAAATTCTGGTGCTGAAACCGAAAATTCAAAATGCACTTGGCCGAAAACCGAAATGCGCAGATTTAAAAATGAATATATTTTTTGGAAAACAATACACTTTGATTAAAAAAAAATTAATTTGATATATATATATATATCCTAATTTTTATGTAAAATATGAAAGAAGATGTTACGGCGAGTAAATGTTGGGTACAACATGTCACGCTTTAAAATTGCGCACACTCGTGGAATGGCGTGAAACTTGCAGTACTTAAAAATCTCTACGGGTGATGCTTTAAATTGTGTACAGGCTAGCAGTGTAAAGTTACAGAGGAGGTCTAGTGCAAGAATTATTGGACATTCGTGGCGATACCTCACGTGTGTGGTTTGAACACCATTTACATATGTGGGCCTACGTAGGCTTTCACCACTACATGCAAGCACGGGGGGACAGGGGCACGTTAAACTTTTTTTTTTTTTTTTACATTTATTTAATGTTTTTTTTTTTTCCTTGAACTGTCCCTTTTCAAAAAATGTTTTAATCACGTTTATTCTTATCACAAGAAATGTATGTATCCCTTGTGATTATAAATAATTAGTGACAGGTCCTCTTTATGGAGAGATATGGGGTCAATAAGACCCCATGTCTCTCCTCTGCTATGTAAAACATTGAATCAAAAAAAGCATTGATCTAGTGCTTTAAAAAAAAAATAATAATAATTGCCAGAACCGGAAGTGGCATCGCGCCGATCCTCCTTGGGCATAGAGATGAGTGGAGGCCATCTTTCCTTCACTCATCTCTATGCCCAGTGCCGGGATCACTCGATGGTTTCTCAGGTAAGGCTGAGAACTACCAAGCGGCGAAGGGCAGGGTTTTTTCGGTACCTGTATCGGTGCTTTTTTTTTTTTTTTTTTTTTCAGCAGATGACCCAAAGGGGTGTTTTTGGCCGAAACTACAGTGCATCCGTAGTAATAACTACCTTTCCCACGCACTGGAATAGTTAAATGCTCCTGTTTGTCTTGGGTACTATTAAAAAGAAGTTTTACCTTCCCTTATTCCTTGCTCCTCTGCCAGCTGGCACTCTCCTCTTCCCTTTTATGAGCCGGGTTGTAGGCAGGAGTTGTCCTTTATAATGCAGGGCCTCTGGTCCTGCATTGTCCCTGATGACAACAGAATGCAATTGCTGGATGAAAGCTCCCAAAGAGCAGAGACTTCA